CCAACACAGCTTTTCAGGAGAGACAAGTCTGCCAGTGCCAAGGGAGCTGCTATCTTCATCATTGCCTTCTTTTTCAACAAGTATGAATAAGATAAGCGGAAGCAAGAAACAGAAGACCAAAGATGTAGAACTGAGCCTGAGGAAAGCACCATCCAGCATACCAAATCCTACTCAGAACTAGTACGATTAGATCTTCGCAAGGAACAACTCTTTCTGATTTCATCTTCTTGTCTCTTTTATTCCTCTCTTGCTTACATACTTCACTCGTCTTCCATATTCTTATCTCTCTTTCTTGTTTGCTATTTTCTCTTGTACGGTTTTAGTGATAATGTTTAAGCATCAGAGAAAGCAGAGACATAATACATAAACTGTACATAAGAACTGGAATTAAAGAAAGTATGTTCCAAGGACAGAAGGAAGTAGCTTCGCTTGATTAAGAAAAAGTTTTTGACAGAGCATGGTGAGATCTATATAAAAAAATTGAAATTATATTTTTCAAAAATGAGTGATGAGAAGAGATGGCAAAGAGAGAAGTCCACGTCTGGTTGTTGGTTAGTGAGTTGTTGAACACATGTAGGCATATAATGCATCTTTTAGGTACAAAGTTTGCTTTACAGCCAAATAGATTGAAACTTATTTGGCGGTGATAGGAAACATTGCTTTGATCGAATGGTTTCAAGAAAGAATATGTTAAATACATTATCAGTTACACACCATCATCAGCTACATAATAATTTGAGCATAACTGAATAAAATCATATCTCCTCTTATAAATCTTAGTCTAACGTTAATTAATGAGAAAGTTCAACATAAAAAAATTATCGTTTCATGTCTTATATGTATATTTATGTGTCATTAGTATTAGTATTGTGTTTTCTTGGTGAATATTTCTTTAAAAAATCCATCGAAAGTCTTTTTACTTTGTTTCGGGTAAATTAATCTCTAATCTTACAAAACATTTTTAATATCTCGAATTTTCTTAAAATCTTTGAACAAAATTATTTTGTCGTCTCTAAATTAGTTTATCAATTGTTTATGCAAAAGAAAGCATCAATAAGAAGTATGTTTTTCCTTTTATTCGGACAATATTTTTAAATTAAAACAATATTATATAAAAAAAATTAGGAATTTTTTCAAGAGCAAAATCAAGTTTGTAATTCAAATTCCACCTCTTGCAAATTACCCAGTGAGGATTTAAATACGTCAACATTAGGTTTTAGTTAAATTCAACATTAAGATATTTTCGTTAAAAAAAATTATATGATTTAAAAAATTATTTTATTAAGTTTTGAAAGTAGTATTTTAAAAGTGTGTTTAAAATGATTTTTAGATGGTCAAATAAAACAACTTTTAAACTATAAATAAATATGAGGAAACTATGATTTTTAATCTTAAAATCATTGTACTTATAAAAATATATAAATTAAAATCCTCCCAAGAGTAATTTTTACCTGTAAAATTAGGGTTTTTTTTTATAACAAGGAAGAATTTCCTAAGCTCTTATTAAACACTGTATTTTATCCTTTTATTATGATAAACATTTTTATACATAAATTTATACAGTTTTAAATATTTAAAAGTAATATAAAGATTGATGTTAATAAAACCAAAAATTATTCAAACACAACTTTCACTGTATAAGTCCATTTTCTCTACTGTACTCTTCTTTTTTTTTACTTGTACTTTAAAAGAGATAGAAAACGAAGTTTTGAACGTTCAAAATCCAAAGCTGTCAAAAAAGAAAAATGATGGATCATGACCCATCAACGAAGAAGGATTGTAGGCATAGGCTAAAAGGCCAAGAGAGTAGTGCCTAAAGCTGTTTTTTTCTGTCTTACATTCATATTTCAGAGCCCATATTTCGTTTTCACGATCTTCACTTTCACAAACTCAGATAATTTTTATTCCAAGTGTTATGTTATGTTCTTAGCAGTTTGCATTACTTTTTTCTCTTAAAATTTGAAATAAATCTAACAACTCAAATTAACTTTTAACATTAACAACAAATATTGAAAATCTTTCGGACGTGAGATTGAAGATCAAAATCAAACACTCGTTCATACTTTTTTCTAAATCATTTTTCTCGAAATCGCCATGCGTTGTTTTAAGTATCAATAGTTAAGTTTTTCTAAGTCTCAATGCCTTAACTCCAATCCGTATAGACGAGTACTTGTCAAAGACACTCTGACACTCATGTTAATAATTTAGTCGATCATTTAAATTTACAGTAAATACAATCGTTTGTCTCCTTACCTCAAATTCATATTTATAAATTTTGAAATGAACTTACGATTATCATAGTTGTAATACCTGATAAGTATATTTAACTTGTAAACTTGATTATAAGTTATACTTAAAACTTTTTGGGATTGATGGCCGGTTGGTCGTCCCATTCACCTATCTAATGAGTCGGAACAACACGTTTTAATCCTTTGTTTGCATGGCCTGTGGCTAACCGTATGACATATGGTACAAAAAGGAACATGAATTAGTAGTAGGAACATGAATTAATAATAGGAACATGAATTAATAGGATATTTATTAGAACACTTTCTATGCATATCCTACCACCTTAAGCATTAGTAGTAGGAATAATTTGTTGTCAACATGAATCATCATCAATTGAAAAGGATTAATCATAATAATTAGCCAAAAGGTAGGTATTATTGTGTAATTAATTTGTAACATGAAAACAAAGTATTCCTAATGGTGGTACAATAGAGATCCTGAGATCCAGAGTGTTGACTACTAGTTGGGCTATTCCATGGCCAGTGGTCCAAGAAGTTGGCTTTCAAATTTGAAGTGTGGAATTAGAGCAGGTAGAAACACCTCATCCATTTGATCCTGTCATAGAGAATAAAATCACAAGTGGTTCCACCCATTCACTTTTATGTGTAAAAGCAGAGTTTCTATGGTAACAAGGAGACCAAAGGCACCAAGTTTGTATCCATTAAAGCTTCCATACCTATCTGCAATAAAGCAACAAAAGAAGTTTCGGAATAAAGCATAACTCAGCAGAATAAAAGGCATCCATATTGATGCCATAGCTATCTCCTTTTACTGTCATATTAACCTTGCATAATTGCTAAAGGACTATTGACTGGTCTTAATTCCTGTTCTTCTGTACTTAGAGAAATATGTCACAACTCAAAATTAATTAACTCCTTTCAAAAACTTATTCTATTTCTTGAATAACATTATGTGTACATAATCTTCATATGGAGTGTTATCAAATGACTAATTTCTATTCAAGAACCTTAGCTTTATTAGCATCACTTTTACTAGGATTTTCCTTTCTCATTATTATTCATTGAAGTTGACTCTGAATCCTAATCTGTAAATGGTTTAATACTATTTATATGTTCCTTTCATCAAATAGTTAAGATTCTTCAACAATTACATAAGATAGTCTCATCATGCATGAACTGATGTGATACTTAGCATATTTCCTTACCCAATTTATTACTAATCATGCTTGGATCTTCCTGAGATAGTTTTTTAATACACTTAATAGTTCATTTACAAAATTATTTATCATTTGTGTAATTATTAATTCCTCACAGGTTTCTTCAAGATCCAACATTAATCAGACAGGAAGTCCCATCCCAAAGATTACCCTAGACTACTAGTCCATTATCATAATATCAATTATTTACCCTTGCAATTAGCTACTATAAATTAGCTTATCTCTGACTTTCAGAAACCCACTTGAGGATAAACAATTATTTTACCATATGTTTTACCAGGTTTATTTTTTGCTCAATTATTGGGATACTCAAACTTTGAGCAAATGCTGCTGCATATATGGTCCAAGATCAACAATACAATAAAAAAAAAAAAGCTTCTAAATAGTGTACGAATTTGTGTGCAAAGGCAGGATCTGCCACTCTTGGCTGACATGGTAGAGTAACAAAAACTACTTGATATCAAAACTAGACTAAAAGAATACAACTTTTCTTTTGTTTAAGTTGAGAAGCACATGACACGAATGACCTATGTTCTTGTCATGGACATGTGCTTGTCCTTTTAGCCTGATACATGTCTGTTTTTCTGAAATGTTATTAAAGTCAAGTAAGACAGAACACAATCAGTGGTAGAAGCGAAAGGATAACCTTCTAAGTTGGTACATCTGAAGATTGCAGAAATAGATGACAAGCTCAATGAATTAGTATATATTACTTTACTTGTAAACATGATTTTGGGTTTGAAAAGTGTTGGATCTATCACCTTAACTATCTTCAAACCTGTCTAGCTGTCCGGTAGTGAGTGAGAGTGCGTGCATCTTGATCCAAGCACTTACCCACCTAACGGGGACCATCATTTTAATATTGTTACTGTCTGCATCATGTTAAGGTTAATTAAGATTCTCTGTTATGAACCCAAGAACTAGTCTTTTCTGTTAGTGTATCTTCCACCTAGTGTGCTACTTAAAGCTCATTTTGTACCTTTCTAATAATTTCTCCCTTTTCTTAATTTCGTAATTTTCATCAAATGTTTGTAAACTAAAATTCAAAGGAGAAAAAAAAAAGGCAGAGAGGAGTTGGAGTAGGTGAGTTGGGTACAGACCGAGTCCACTCTTTTATCTAGAGTCCAGATACAAACAAAAATGGTTAACAATTTTAAGTAAACGTAACTTCTGCAAAATCAAGCTCTACAATTGACATGTGCTACATGGCTATGCAATCAGCAAGAGATATGGTAGGGTTGGAAATAAATAAACTGGTATAAAAAAAATTCATATTTTGGACTCGATCTGAAACAAATTTGTTAACAAATGAATTGGAAAGTCTGATGTTTCTTTCTCATTGTTTTGGCCACAACCTACGCATGGACTAACAAACAAGAAAGTACCTCCAAAAATGGTTTAACAATGGATAAGACGTCGGTTTCCAGTAATTTATACCTATATTTAGGTGTTTGGAACACAGTACGCTGTGTACATAGGTATTTGCATTGAATGTGAGTAACTTCTTTGTCACATATTTCCATTATAGCGAGAATACGTAAAATAATACTGTGATAGACATTCAATGATGATGCATCTTGGATATATACAATGAGGTAGAATAGTGAAGATGAGATCTACATAATAATTCCATTCAGCAGTTCTCAATTATCATGAAAATAAGTCTGAAAATTAAAGGTTAAAGGCACTGTGACCGTATAGACAGAAGAATTGCACAATTCCCAAGCCCATCACAGATCGTGTACAATTCTTCAAACTCCCCTCCCTTGGTCTTTTGAAAAGTTTGGATAAAAAGAAAAAGGCAAATTAATAAACATGAGCGACCATAAATAATAAGACCCAATGGACAACCTTTCTTTCCCACGTTGTCAACAGGTTCGAATTCGAATGTGGGAAAGCACTGCACAACCGAGGGAACTAACTTGGAAAAGAAACACCAAAACATCTTGAGCTTTTTGGTTTACAACTTTACATGCTTCTAGCCAGCATTTCTTGGAACCTCCTATCAGACTCTTGCTTCTCCAACCTGAACTTCTCGTGGCAATTGGCAATGAACATTTCTGCCAGCACATCAATCTCATTCATGTCATGCTCATTATTTGCACCTGCACCCGTACTTGCACCCTTTTTCTCACCACCCTCAACTTCAACCTTCTTCTCTTCAAGCCACCGAAGGTAGGGGCAATCTTCACCTTGTGGCTCCCCAGAACTCAACCCTTCGAAAACAGGTTCTGGAACCGGTAACACGTGTGAGGATTTGGAGGAGCACCAGTTGTAGTGAAGCCTGAAGGAGCCTAAGATGATGTTCTTGCGTCTGTTGGTGAAATGCTTTTTGTGAGAGAAGTGGATGCCTGAATTGTCCTTAAGAATCTCAACCACGACAGCTTTGACTTTGGAGAGTGCACGAATGATTCGGCACAAGTGGGAGATTATGAGGGTGTGGACGATTCTTTTCAGCTTCATGGAGCTTATGGTTGAAGATGGGGAAGATGGTTTCACGGAGAAAACTTGAAGAGGGTACAAGGTTTTTAGATGTGAAGGGCTAAACATTTTGTGTGTTACTAAAGGAGCAGGTACATAGAAACAGTGTCTGAGAGAGAGTGACGAGAGTGTGTAACGTTACACACGTATTTGGTTTGGTCCATGTTTGAGAGCTGTTGTTGTAGTTTATATGGGGTGCCAACCCTTCTTAATTACTGCTTTACCCTTTGTTTTCTGGTTTATTTAAAGGCTACCCTACACTTTTTTTCTGTGAGAAAAATAGTCAAATTGTTCTTTTTCTTTTTTGGATATGTTGTTGGGAATAAGACCCGCTTGTTTGTTTTAAAAAATTTGGTTGGTTTCAGCAGCTTCACCAACACTCAATTTCTTTCTTGGTCGTGTAATTATGTTAATTACAGTAGTATGAAATTCGAGAACGGTGATTAAGGCTCAAGAATCGCCATAATCACGAACCCAAGATTATATATAATACCTGATCCAGGAACTATATTATTAAATGTTTCCTACAGTTGTAGTGCTTTTTTTTATTGCTAAGAAGTTTCTTCTGCATCTGCGTAAACAATAGCATCCTGCAGATTTATACGTACTTTGACACTTTCTTCACGCACAACTTTGTTTGCATTATGTTATTATTATATGGGGCAAGAAAGTGTGTCATTGAATGACATAAGAAATTAGATCATCAGATAATAATAATTGTAAGAGTATAACGTAAGAAAGTTGGGTATTCTATATCGTGGATTGATTTAGTTGAAAACTCGATCACTTAACTCTGTTTTTCACAGCTGTTCACCACTCCTTTAAAGATATTCAGGTAAACTTTGACGCAAATATATACATATATCTTTTATTAATTAATTCGCTTTTATTGTATGGATAAGTGTCACTTATTTAGTCATAAAGTGAGTGGTGTCTTATATTTGAAATGGATTACTCATGTTACGTGTATAAGATGCACTGATTTACAGTGTACCACCTTAGAAATGTATAATTTGTGTGAAGCATTTTAATTTCTTAAGTTGATGAAAGTGATAGAAAGTTAAATTAAATAATAAATTAAAGGGGATTTTTCGTAGGAAGACAATGAGAACGTTTTACATGCTGTTTTATGACTTTATAGTGCAATATGATGTTGTCATGTTTACCAACTCAAAAACCCCGCAGGGTTATCTCAATTCCTAACCCTTTTTTACTTAATTTTTATATGTGAAATAGTACTATACATCAAACTCACATCAATTAGTTGGATTTGAAGGAGACATTAGCCAAATTACGTACACTCAAGTATTTCTTTTATGGTGAAATAGTACTATGGTCATCATGCTTATTATTTTTTTGAGTAAAAATTTAAATCAAATCTATTCAAAGTAAGAGTTTTTATTAATTAAAACTCAAATCAAAATATGATTTAACCTTTTTTCTCAACAAAAAAAAATCTCTGTACATACTTAATAAACAATCTCAACTTCTAAGGTTAAGGTGACTTTTTACCCCTACTCTAAGATACATTTTTTTTTTCTTCAGTTTCTCTCAACTTAATATGTTAATTTATGTAACATAAGCTATCAATAATATATATTTTTCTTAATAGTTGTACTTAATACCAAGATCACAATTTCTTTAAAAATATCGACATCATCATAATCCAAATTATCTCATAGGTTTGTATATATAAATTCAATCATATAAAATGCACGTTATCAAAAACGTGTTTTGCAAGAATATGTTATTTGAGCAAATATTCTCACTTAATAACTTGATTTCCTCAAACAAAAGAAAATCTCTCGTTCAAGCATAAATTCATTGCTTGAGTGATATATTAAATGAATTTGCATCACTTGATAATAATTTTTCAGAAGAAATAATCTGTTTGATTTCTTCTTTGCATAAATATCATCATTGTTTGAGAACTCGACTCGTAATGAAAAGAGAATTAACATTTATTTTTGTTACTCAAACATTACATTTTTGTTACTCAAACATTATATTCTTTCTTGAGCTCGTCAAGTAATTAGAAAACTTATAGAATTAAAAATGTGTAATAAGAATTAACCAACTCAAAACTTAAAATTAATAATAAATAATTTTACTGTGAGATGAAGACATTATTTTCCATATCTTAGAAAACTATGATTAAATACCAATTTAAAAAAAAATCAAATATTGAAGTAGAGATGAAGATTTAAGAATTATATGTAACTAGGGTGCTTAGCGATCAAAAGGCGACTTGGTCTCTTGGCAAATTTACTCACCAGTTATTTTTTCTTAAATATATCAAAAATATAATTCATTATATAAATATTTTTTAATATTTTAATTATTGTCTTGGATAAATTAAAATAATTATTATATTAAATTACTTTATTATATAATTAATAATTGAAACTTATAGGTATTAATAACTTAATTTACAATATTATTGCATTCTTGAAATAATATAATATATAAACATTAATTTCTTAAGTTATTTTATTAATTTTAAAAAGCGTGGGTCGTTTTTCTTGCTCCATATTTGGTATTCAGATGAGATGGATCAAAACGAATTCACAAACTAATACATAAACAAAAATGAAATCAAATTATAAATTAGTTAAAAGAAATATATATATATATATATATATATATTAAGTGGCTAGTTATGGAAAATGGTTCCAAGGTGGAACTTCTTGTTTGTAATTCCAAGTATTGTAAGTATGAATGTAGGAATCTTAGTCTTGGGGTTCATCCTGACACTAATGATAATTTATTCTCACATAGAAAGGGTGAGACATGTGGTGAGAGTAGTAGAAGGTCCTAGTCTAGGGATCTTACCTTGGCCTAAGGCGTTGGTTAACGAACTAACCTTGTGTGGTAGCTTGGGGTGGGCCAGCTATTTCACCACTACAAGTGCATAAACCACCATAACTCGAGATTCATACTATATTTGGATAATACAGTATAGGTCTTGACATGTTTAACATGAGTGGATTGTTTTATGATAAATATGATTCATGTGTTAAATATTAATGTATATTATGATTTGTTTTGTATCACTAGCGAGTGGTGAGGGTGAAACAATGACTCACTTAGATGAATATATAGAAGTAGAATTTTTTTGTGATAAATTTGTTTTATATAGTTATTATTGGTACCTTCATTTTGGTTGTTTTTATATTATTAAAATGGAATGAAAAATTAATATTAATTTTTATATGTGATAAGTAATGATAATGTATAAATGTATTTATCAAAATTTAATATATAAAATTTATATTTAATTATAAAAAATATATTACAAGATACGAATTCATTAATATTTTGATAAACAATAAGAATGTTTCAATAAATTTTTTAAATTTTAATTGAATTTAATATACAATTTTTTTATGCAAAACGTTGCACTACTACGGCGCCACTGTTCTTTTATCATATGAGGAAGACTTTATTCAACAAGGAACACAAACACCATAGGAAAGTAAACAAGAAAGTAAGCTGATTCTTTTTATTCATAATTTATTCCCATAAAATATAATTGAACCAAAATGAAAAGGTAGCCAAAACGACCATGAGCATCTTCATTAAAATTCATAATATATTTCTTCATTTATCGTATTTTAATTTGACAATTTTTGTTGTCCTATTATTCATTTGTATTTTTGAAATTCGTGCGTGCTTTTATATATATTCTGTTTCAGATAAGGATGTAAATGTTTTACTTTGCTGTGACGTGTTGCTTAATTTATTATGCATTAATGCAAATTTATTACTGATTAAATCGTTTGTCATGCATTTTAAAGCTCGTAAATATTGGACCAAAAATTTGCTGAGTCCAATCAATCTATCAGTTGAATTTCCGTAAGCAAAAACGAAATCATTTCTTACTTTCTTAAAGTGCTTTTTGTTTTACTAATTATAAAATATTATACAACAGAATTNTTTAGACTTTGTTCACTTGAATAGATTTGGGGGAGAGTGATTGAATGGATTTGAGAAGATTTGAAGGTAAATTTGTTGTTGTTTATTTAACTGGATTTGGATGTAAGTGAGAGTGGATTTCGAAGTAAATTTTTTTTAATTTGTCACATCAATCAAATCCTACACTAATTCTCACAAACTTTACTTCCAAATTCACTCTCACTTACTTCCAAATCCACTCAAATAAACAACAACAAAATTTACCTTCAAATTCATTCAATCACTCTCTCCCAAATCCATTCAAGTGAACAAAGCCTTAGTTTCTTAATACCAATTTTGATAAAATCATAGAATGAAAGGAGTAGAAGTTAAACTATGAGCGTGATGGTAACAAATTTATTAAGTTTAAATTCCAATTTGAAATTGAGTGCATTTTGTTTTTCTTAATTTAACTTCTGCGACAAATGAGAAATCACAACATCATGTTTATATTGACCAAACAAGTTGGAGATGTGAATTGTTTAAAATAAACTTACATGATGTGATTTACTTTAGAAAGTAATTTTTTGGTCCAACTGAGAGCTAACAGGTTTATTATGACTAATTTACTAATTTCGGGTTGATTTTTAATTAGTTGGTATATCAATGCAGTTCTTCTTGAAAACTACACAATGTTCTGCAGTCTGCTCAAATCTATAAGATGTGTAATTTGTTAGAATATTTTTATTCTTTTTACAAAAATGAAATGAAAATATGCTTATCAATATGAAACATTCCAAAGGGAACGAGTAGTGGTCTCTGTTCTGAATAAGGGGACAAAGTGAACAACAACAATTTTATCTGTTCATAACTCTCTTCAATATGTGCAAGAGCTTCTTTTTGCTATGTTTTGACGTTGGTTATATGTAGGAAGATGAAAAATATATTTCGAAATATTGTTTCTGCGTAAAATATGTTTTTAGAATTATTTTTAAGAGCTGACTTCAGAAATCCATTTTTTGGAGAATAACTTACCCTTTTCGGAATTTCCTTTCCACATAAAGGTTTTTCTCTTCTGAAAAGTATTTCCGGACAACTTAATATTCAAAATATCAAATCTCTCTGAAAATAAACTACTAATTCTAAAATTTAAAAACAAAAATCAACATCAACATCATCAATTATTTTGTTATTAAAGTGAAAAACAAATTAACGAACAGAGAGCAAGAGCAACAAATTACGGTGTCGCAGGTTAATGTGTGTGGGTGAGAGAAAATATGGAAATGAGAGAGAAA